AGTTGGATGAGAAAACCTGGCTAACCACCGGCATTCCAATTCCTTCCAAAGGTGTTCAGTCGGGTTGAGATCAAGGCTCTGTGCAGGAAACTCGAGTTCCTTACACCAAATTGGTCAAAACATGACCTTATGATTTGGCCACCGTTTGTGAGGTCAGGTACTGATGATGGATGAGAAATGTGGCGTATAACTGGTGTTCCAATTCATTCCTAAGTTGTTCAATTGGGTCTCTGGGCAGGTCACTTGAGTTTCTCCACACCAAACTGGTCAAACCATGTCTGGCCTCCAATTATGGAGTAAAGGATTGATGTTGGATGAGAAACTTGGCATATAATTGGTGTTTCAATTCGTACCAAAGGTGTTCAGTAGGGTTGAGCTCAGGGCTCTGTGCAGGACACTGGTCAATTATGTCCTTATGGTTTGGCCGCCATCTGTGAGGTCAGTTACTGATGTTGGATGAGAGGATCTGGCTCTCAATTGGTGTACCAATTCATGCCAAAGTTGCTCAGCAGGGTTCAGGTCAGGTCTCTGTGCAGGTGACTTGAGTTCCTCCATACCAAACCATGTCTTTATGGATCTGGCAGCAATTTATAGAGCCAACTATAGATGTTGGATGAGAAGACCTGTCTCACAATTGGTGTTCCAATTCATGCCAAAGATGTTCAGTAGGGTTCAGGTCAGGTCTCTGTGCAGGTGACCTGAGTTCCTCCATACCAAACCATGTCTTTATGGATCTGGCTGCAATTTATGGGGCCAAGTACTGATGTTGGATGAGAAGACCTGGCTCACAATTGGTGTGCCAATTCATGCCAAAGGTGCTCAGTAGGGTTCAGGTCAGGTCTCTGTGCAGGTGACTGGAGTTCCTCCATACCAAACCATGTCTTTATGGATCTGGCTGCAATTTACGGGGCCAAGTACTGATGTTGGATGAGAAGACCTGGCTCACAATTGGTGTTCCAATTCATGTCAAGGATGTTCACTAGGGTTGAGGTCAGGGTTCCATCACTTGCAAGGATGTCTACATAATTTTGCCCATATAGTGTACTTTATAATAGGAAGCGAATATGGTTTGTGATACGAGAGCGCCATCTAGCGTCTATATCACCCCAATGCTGCACTGTTTTTGATGGAATTGTAAAATTTGCAAATAAAGTTTTGTCTGCAGCAATACCTTTGGTCAAGTGCAGGACGACGGAAAAAAAAAGGTAAACACCACATAAGCTACAACATGCAAAGCAACATTTGTCTCATCTTTTCGACCTCTGACCTTCGTACCAGCTTCTCTCCTGTACCGAAATGGCTTACTCTGATTTCACCGCACACTGTAAGCTTCTCACAATGTGCATTAGAAGCTGCAGCCAATCAGATAGAGCTCCGCCTCCCTTCCTGGCTGGAGGATGGATGTCCAGCATCATCTAGCCCTTTCCTTCCCCAGTGTCCCTGGCAAGCCCCTTTCATTCGTTGGATTTCAGTTCTATAAATGTCGCTGGAAAAGAATGCAGAAGAGCGCAACAAAGCTCAGCCGTCACAAATCTTCATCATAGTTTGCCCAATACGCCTATTTCCTATGATCATCAGCTCCATCTAGTGACCATAATGCAGTATTTGAAAATTTACCTTAATCGGGAAAGTACCTCAATATTGCCAGTAGATGGCGCTGACCTTCATAGGAAATATTGTGCAAGTTACAGTGAAGATTTGTGATGGTGGTGCCAAGGATTGACATATTTGCGGGGAGGGGAGGGTAACTCTATAATATCTACAGACAGGTACACTTTACACCTGTAGGCTGCTGTACTGTTTGCGTGATTTGGCTCCCTCCCTGGCTTTGTCCGGTCATGCTGGGATTTGTAGTTCCATGCCGAATACAGAGCCACACACAGCCCACTGGCTGGATGGAGAGAAAAGGGGCCGGCGTTGCTGAGCGCCTTCTGAGAATGCTCCTCGCCTGGCTATCTCTGAGTCAATGACCTGGAACAAGGTCTTTGGACCAGCACAGCCAGGCAACTGGAATTTTCCAAAAAAGGAGAGCAGCCTAAAGACCCTATAACCATCTCTGGCTGCCATGCTGGGAGTTGTTGTTCTACACCAGCCACCAGGGAACCCCAGGGAGCCCATACCAGCCTCTGTGTGCCATGCTGGGACTTGTACCTCAATGTCAGTTTATGGGGAGCCCATACTGGTCTTGGTGTGCCATGCTGAGACTTGCAGTTCAATGTCAGTTACTAAGGAGCTCCAGGGAGCCCATGCTGGCCTTGGTGCACAATTCTGGGACTTGTAGTTCAACACCAGCTACTGGGGGACCCAAAGAACCCATACTGGCTTCATTGTGCCATGCTGGGACTTGTTGTTCAATATCAGTTACTAAGGAGCTCCAGGGAGCCCATGGCAACTCCTATGTGCCATGCTGAGATTTGCAGTTCAATGTCAGTTACTAAGGAGCTCCAGGGAGCCCATACCGGCTCCTATGTGCCATGCTGGGACTTGTAGCTCAATGCCAGCCAATGGGGCCACATACTGGCCTTGGTGTGCCATGCTGGGACTTGTAGATCAATGTCAGCCAATGGGGCCACATACTGGCCTTGGTGTTCCATGCTGGGACTTGTAGCTCAATGTCAGCCAATGGTGCCACATACTGGCCTTGGTGTGCCATGCTGCGACTTGTAGCCCAATGTCAGCGAATGGGGCCACATACTGGCCTTGGTGTGCCATGCAGGGACTTGTAGCTCAATGTCAGCCAATGGGGCCACATACTGGCCTTGGTGTGCCATGCTGCGACTTGTAGCCCAATGTCAGCCAATGGGGCCACATACTGGCCTCAGTGTGCCATGCAGGGACTTGCAGTTCAATATCAGTTATTAAGGATCTCCAGGGAGCCCATGAGGGCTCCTATGTGCCATGCTGGGACTTGTAGCTCAATGTCAGCCAATGGGGACAGATACTGGCCTCAGTGTGCCATGCTGGGACTTGTAGTTCAACATCAGCCACTGGAGAGCCCTAGGGTGCCCATACCGGCCTCCGTGTGCCATGCTGGGACAGTTCCATTTTTAATAAATTCCTAATAAAACATTTTCCATGTCCCAAATGATGTCCCTGATGAGGACAATGGAGTTCTGATTTTAAATTTTTCATTTTCACATCATATTTTTTCACTTCTTTCTTTTCCTTTTAATTCCATTAATTATAATAAAGTTTTTGTTTTTTTTACCCTTTTTCCACCAAATTTTTGCCTTATCAATCATTTATTTTTTCCATCTTTTTTTACTCTGCTTTTTTCACCATAATTTAGATTTTTCTTTTTCGTCTTTTTGTACTTTTTTTTATGTAAAATGTTATTTTTATTTGCCTCTTATTTTGTTCTTTTTACATATATTTTATTCTTACAAGTTTTTTTTTATTTAATTTTTTTTTTTTTTCTTTTCTCTCCCCTTCTCTTTTTTTAGTATTTTTTCATGCTGTTCATCATTTTCTTTATTATTTTCTTGAATCCGTCTTTTTCTTTCCCTTTTTTCGCTTTTATTTTTTTCGTTTTTTTTTTTTCCCAGCTTTTCTCACACAAACACAGACCTGTCCCACTTTTACGGCCTATTCACAGCTAATATATTCTCTGGCTCTCTGTGATCAAGCCCCGATCAGTGGGACGAAACGCGTTGGGGGTGTGGCTAGAGCGGTGGAGGTGTGGCTAGAGCGGTGGCTGAGGCCAGCCCATCTGATTCACATGTCTGACTCCTGGGGATGGTTTGATAGCGGCGTCTGTTCTCTTACCATGCTGGGACTTGTAGTTCAACTCCAGCCACTGGGTAGCCCCAGGAAGCCCATGCCGGTCTCTGTATGCTATGCTGGGACTTATAGTTCAACACCAGCTGCTGGGGAATCCCAGGGGAGTGTTAACATACTGTGCCAGTATGTTCTCCACCAGTCACTGCTGAGCTCCAGGGAGCCTCTCTGATGCATGCTGGGACTTGTAGTTCCAACCAATGAAGAGACCCAGAAAGCCAATCATAGACTCTTGACTGACAGGCTGGGACTTGTGGTTCCACCTCAGTAGTCTATATCTAACATGCTGGGAATTGTTTTCCATGCCAACCACAGGATAGGCACTGGAAGTCTATAATGGACTACTGGGGAACCCCAGAGAGCCCATACCAGCCTCTGTGTGCCATGCTGGGCCTTGCAGTCCACCACAGGTCACTGCTGAGCTCCAGGGAGCCTCTAGTGGCCTCTGTGTGCCATGCTGGGCCTTGTAGTTCTCCACCAGTCACTGCTGAGCTCCAGGGAGCCTCTAGCGGGCTGTGTGCCATGCTGGGCCTTGTAGTTCTCCACCAGTCACTGCTGAGCTCCAGGGAGCCTCTAGTGGCCTCTCTGAGACATGCTGGGCCTTGTAGTTCTCCACCAGTCGCTGCTGACCTCCAGGGAGTTTCTAGTGGCCTCTGTGTGCCATGCTGGGCCTTGTAGTTCTCCACCAGACAATGCTGAGCTCCAGGGAGCCTCTAGTGGCCTCTCTGAGACATGCTGGGCCTTGTAGTTCTCCACCAGTCACTGCTGAGCTCCAGGGAGCCTCTAGTGGCCTCTCTGAGACATGCTGGGCCTTGTAGTTCTCCACCAGTCACTGCTGAGCTCCAGGGAGCCTCTAGTGACCTCTCTGAGACATGCTGGGCCTTGTAGTTCTCCACCAGTCACTGCTGAGCTCCAGGGAGCCTCTAGTGACCTCTCTGAGGCATGCTGACCTCCAGGGAGCCTCTAGTGGCCCCTGTGTGCCATGCTGGGCCTTGTAGTTCTCCACCAGTCGCTGCTGAGCTCCAGGGAGCCTCTGTCTGATGTGCCTGGACTTGCAATTCCCCTCCTCAGCACCGGAGGGCGCACACAGCCAGACGAGCGCGGACCAGAGCTGTGATCTCCCGGCATGCTCCAGGGCGGTGCCGGTGGGCGGGGTTTCGTCAGGCCGAACAGTCCCTCCCCGGCCGCCGTAGCGGAAGGCGGAAGTGTCCGGTGTCCGGGAGATGGGGGCGGCCGTGTTCTTCGGCTGCACCTTTGTGGCTTTCGGACCGGCTCTGTCTCTCTTCATCCTCACCATCGCCCGGGACCCCCTCCGGGTCATCATCCTGGTTGCCGGGTACTGCCTGAGGGGGGAGGGGAGGAGTGTTATACCGAGTACGGGGGGGGGGGGGAGATCCTGTAATATATGGGGATCGTGTTGTATATGGGGGGTTCTGCTATATATATGGGGGTCCTGTTATATATTAGGGGGTTTATGGGGGTCTGTTATTTATGGGGGGGGGGTCCTGTTATATATTAAGGGGTTAATGGGGGGGCTGCTATATATGAAGAATACATGGGGGGGTCCTGTTATATATGGGGGTTAATGAGGGGGGTCCTGTTATATGTGGGGGTTTATGGGGAGAGGGTCTTGTTATATGTGGGGGAGGGTCTTGTTATATGTGGGGGTTTATGGGGGGGGAGGGTCTTGTTATATGTGGGGGTTTATGGGAGGGGGGCTTTTATATATGAAGAATACATGGGGGGATCATGTTAGGGGATTAATAGGGGGTCCTGTTATATATGGGGGGAGGGTCTTGTTATATATGGGAGTCCTGTTATATGTGGGGGTTTATGGGGGGAGGGTCTTGTTATATATGAAGAATACATGGGGGGGTCCTGTTATATATTAGGGGGGTTTGGGGGGGATCCTGTTTTCACATGTGGGTTTAGGGGGGTTCTGATTTTTATGGGGGTTTAGGGGGTCCTTTTATATATTAGGGGGTTTATGGGGGGGTCCTGTTATATATGAATACATGGGGGTCCTGTTGTGTATTAGGGGGTTTATGGGGGTTCTGTTATATATATTAGGGGGTATATGGGGGGTCGTGTTGTATATGGGAAGTATATGGGGACCCTGTTATATAAGGGGGTCCTGTGTGTGGGGATCCTGTTGTAAGTTATTACCTTTTGCACCACCGGCCCCTCCCTTTTAGATTGTAAGCTCCCAGGATCAGGGCCCTCCTATCCCTCTTGTATTGAACTGTATTGTCTCCCGTTATATTGTAAAGTGCTGAGCAAACTGTTGGCGCCATAAATCCTGTATAATAATAATATTATGACAAAGATGACCTGTTTTATATATGGAGGTTTATGGGGATCCTATTATATATGTAGAATATATGGGGGTCCTGTTATATATTAGGGGGTTTATGGGGGGGAATCCTGTTATGAGGGGATCCTGTTGTATATTAGGGGGTTTATGGGGGGTCCTGTTTATGAAGAATACATAGGGGGTCCTGTTATATATATTAGGGGGTATATATGGGGACTTCTGGTCGGGTAGATAAGTGCTGAGTATATATGGGGACTCCTGGTCAGGTAGAGAATTGCTGGGTATATATGGGGACTCCTGGTCCTGTAGAGAAGTGCTGAGTATATATGGGGACTCCTGGTTGGGTAGAGAAGTGCTGAGTATATATGGGGACTCCTGTTCCTGTAGAGAAGTGCTGAGCATATATGGGGACTCCTGGTTGGGTATAGAAGTGCTGAGTATATATGGGGACTCCTGGTCCTGTAGAGAAGTGCTGAATATATACGGGGACTCCTGGTCGTGTAGAGAACTGCTGGGTATATATGGGGACTCCTGGTCGTGTAGAGAAGTGCTGAGTATATATGGGGACTCCTGGTCATGTAGAGAAGTGCTGAGTATATATGGGGACTCCTGGTCAGATAGAGAAGTGCTGGGTATGTATAAGGACTCCTGGCCGTGTAGAGAAGTGCTGGGTATATATGGGGACTCCTGGTCGGGTAGAGAACTGCTGGGTATATATGGGGACTCCTGGTCGTGTAGAGAAGTGCTGGGTATATATGGGGACTCCTGGTCCTTTAGAGAAGTGCTGAGTATATATGGGGACTCCTGGTCATATAGAGAAGTGCTGAGTATATATGGGGACTCCTGGTCAGGTAGAGAAGTGCTGAGTATATATGGGGACTCCTGGCCGTGTAGAGAAGTGTTGAGTATATATGGGGACTCCTGGTCGTGTAGAGAAGTGCTGAGTATATATGGGGACTCCTGGTCATGTAGAGAAGTGCTGAGTATATATGGGGACTCCTGGTCAGGTAGAGAAGTGCTGGGTATGTATAAGGACTCCTGGTCGGGTAGAGAACTGCTGGGTATATATAAGGACTCCTGGGTCGTGTAGAGAAGTGCTGGGTATATATGGGGACTCCTGGTCGGGTAGAGAACTGCTGGGTATATATGGGGACTCCTGGTCGTGTAGAGAAGTGCTGAGTATATATGGGGACTCCTGGTCGGGTATAGAAGTGCTGACTGTATATGGGGACTCCTGGTCCTGTAGAGAAGTGCTGGGTATATATGGGGACTCCTGGTCGTGTAGAGAAGTGCTGAGTATACATGGGGACTCCTGGTCGTGTAGAGAAGTGCTGGGTATATATGGGGACTCCTGGTCGTGTAGAGAAGTGCTGGGTATATATGGGGACTCCTGGTCGTGTAGAGAAGTGCTGGGTATATATGGGGACTCCTGGTCGTGTAGAGAAGTGCTGAGTATATATGGGGACTCCTGGTCGTGTAGAGAAGTGCTGGGTATATATGGGGACTACTGGTCGTGTAGAGAAGTGCTGAGTATATATGGGAGTAAATATATTGGATACAATGTATTACAAGATAACTGAGTTTTATGGGGTGAAGGGGGGGCAGACTGATTCATGAGCTGTATGATGACCTCGTAATGGTTGCCCCCTTTTGCTGACCTATAGGAGACAATATTTTCTTCTGGCTGTGACCCATATTGGACAATACCTCCAGTCTGAGCGCGGTATGTGACGTGTTCCTGTTCTTCTCCTGCAGATCTTTCTTCTGGTTGGTGTCGGTTCTCCTGTCCTCTCTGATCTGGTTCATATCCGTCCAGGTCAGCAATAAGAATGACTCCAGCCTGCAGTATGGATTGCTCATATTCGGAGCGGCCATCTCTGTCCTGCTGCAGGAGGTCTTCAGATACGCCTACTACAGACTGCTCAAGTGAGTTTACTTTTTCCCTAAATACCTACTGTATGTCTACCCGGCTCAATAAATGAAAGGAAGACTTTCTAGCATCAAGTCAATGACACTCCTGGGATATGGATCTGGTCAGGAAAGTAGCAGAGGGGGTTGTTCATCAGTTTCAGCTGCTTTGGTGTTAATGAAATTAACAGGTGCCCTAGATGGGCAACAATGAGACGACCCCAAAACAGGAATGGTTTTACAGGTGGAGGCCACTGACATTTTTTCTTTACTCATCTTTTCTGACTGTTTTTCACTCATTTTGCATTTGGCTAGGGTCAGTGTCACTACTGGTAGGATGAGGCCATACCTGGACCCTACAGAGGTTGCACAGGCAGTCCAACTCCTCCAGGATGGCATATCAATACGTGCCATTTCCAGAAGGTTTGCTGTGTCTCCCAGCACAGTCTCAAGAGCATGGAGGAGATTCCAGGAGACAGGCTGTTCCTCTAGGAGAGCTGTACAGGGCCATAAAAGGTCCTTAACCCATCAGCAGGACCGGTATCTGCTCCTTTGTGCAAGGAGGACCAGGATGAGCACTGCCAGAGCCCTACAAAATGACCTCCAGCAGGCCACTGGTGTGAATGTCTCTGACCAAACAATCAGAAACAGACTTCATGAGGGTGGTCTGAGGGCCCGACGTCCTCTAGTGGGTCCTGTGCTCACTGCCCGGCACCATAGAGCTGGATTGGCATTGGCCATTGAACCCCAGAATTGGCAGGTCCACCACTGGCACCCTGTGCTTTTCACAGATGAGAGCAGGTTCCCCCTGAGCACACGTGACAGACGTGAAAGGGTCTGGAGAAGCCGTGGAGAACGTTCTGCTGCCTGTAACATGGTTCAGTATGACCGTTCTGGTGGGGGGTCAGTGATGGTCTGGGGGGGCATATCCATGGAGGGACACACAGACCTCTACAGGCTAGACAATGGCACCCTGACTGCCATTAGGTATCGGGATGAAATCCTTGGACCCATTGTCAGACCCTACGCTGGTGCAGTGGGTCCCGGGTTCCTCCTGTTGCAGGGGGTCCCGGGTTCCTCCTGTTGCAGGGGGTCCCGGGTTCCTCCTGTTGCAGGGGGTGCCGGGTTCCTCCTGGTGCAGGGGGTCCCGGGTTCCTCCTGGTGCAGGGGGTCCCGGGTTCCTCCTGGTGCAGACAATGCCCGGCCTCATGTGGGGAGAGTATGCAGGCAGTTCCTGGAGGATGAAGGAATTGATACCATTGAATGGCCCCCACACTCGCCTGACCTAAATCCAATACAACCCCTCTGGGATGTCATGTTTCGGTCCATCCGACGCCGCCAGGTTGCACCTCAGACTGTCCAAGAGCTCAGTGATGCCCTGGTCCAGATCTGGGAGGAAATCCCCCAGGACACCATCCGTGGTCTCATTAGGAGCCTCCCCCGACGTTGTCAGGCATGCATACAAGCACGTGGGGGCCACACAGACTACTGAGGACCATTCTGAGTTGCTGCAATGACATTTGAGCAAAATGGTATTTTAGTAGCGTTTACTTTTTTTCTGGCCTCCGGAAAGGATTAATATTTTTCTATCGCATTCCTATGGGAAGCGGAGTTACTCCGAGGTATTACTGTAAGTGGTTTGTGTGAAAGTTATAGCATCTACAGACTATGGTATATATCCTGGAATTTACGCAGCTATCGACGCTATATTGGTATTGGTGATGATCAGCGACTTCTAGTGGAACTGCGATAGCGTGGCAGGCAATCTGACGCTGGCTAGGAGGTCCACTAACTGACACTGAGATCAAAAGTGATGCTAATACTGGCTGGAAAGGTGTTAACATCTAAGGCCAATCAAAGGGTTAACTGTGTGCCTAACAAGTGCTGCTTTTACTAAGAGATTTGGCTGTTCCTGTGTCACAGGAAGAAGAAATGGCCAGATCGCTGCTCTGCTTACAGAGCCCTGTGTTGTTTGTAAACACGGGGCTCTGTGCTTTGATTGGACACAGCTGATCAGCAACCACTGTCCAACCACAGTGAGACTCAGAACCCGGGAGCAGGATCGCAACATCTTGCTGCTGCCCTGTCGTAGTAAATCTACTGTGACGGGCTGACAAGTGGTTAACCCCTCGCCTACAGGGCACTTCTACCCCCTTCCTGCCTACAGGACACTTCTACCCTCTTCCTGCCTACAGGGCACTTCTACCCTCTTCCTGCCTACAGGGCACTTCTACCCTCTTCCTGCCTACAGGGCACTTCTACCCTCTTCCTGCCTACAGGACACTTCTACCCCCTTCCTGCCTACAGGACACTTCTACCCTCTTCCTGCCTACAGGACACTTCTACCCCCTTCCTGCCTACAGGGCACTTCTACCCTCTTCCTGCCTACAGGGCACTTCTACCCCCTTCCTGCCTACAGGGCACTTCTACCCCCTTCCTGCCTACAGGGCACTTCTACCCCCTTCCTGCCTACCGGGCACTTCTACCCCCTTCCTGCCTACCGGGCACTTCTACCCCCTTCCTGCCTACCGGGCACTTCTACCCCATTCCTGCCTACAGGGCACTTCTACCCCCTTCCTGCCTACCGGACACTTCTACCCCCTTCCTGCCTACCGGACACTTCTACCCCCTTCCTGCCTACCGGGCACTTCTACCCCCTTCCTGCCTACCGGGCACTTCTACCCCCTTCCTGCCTACCGGGCACTTCTACCCCCTTCCTGCCTACCGGGCACTTCTACCCCCTTCCTGCCTACCGGACACTTCTACCCCCTTCCTGCCTACCAGGCACTTCTACCCCCTTCCTGCCTACCGGGCACTTCTACCCCCTTCCTGCCTACCGGGCACTTCTACCCCCTTCCTGCCTACCGGGCACTTCTACCCCCTTCCTGCCTACCGGGCACTTCTACCCCCTTCCTGCCTACCGGGCACTTCTACCCCCTTCCTGCCTACCGGGCGCTTCTACCCCCTTCCTGCCTACCGGGCGCTTCTACCCCCTTCCTGCCTACCGGGCGCTTCTACCCCCTTCCTGCCTACAGGACGCTTCTACCCCCTTCCTGCCTACCGGGCGCTTTCTACCCCCTTCCTGCCTACAGGGCGCTTCTACCCCCTTCCTGCCTACAGGGCGCTTCTACCCCCTTCCTGCCTACCGGGCGCTTCTACCCCCTTCCTGACTACCGGGCGCTTCTACCCCCTTCCTGACTACCGGGCGCTTCTACCCCCTTCCTGACTACCGGGCGCTTCTACCCCCTTCCTGCCTACCGGGCGCTTCTACCCCCTTCCTGCCTACCGGGCGCTTCTACCCCCTTCCTGCCTACCGGGCGCTTCTACCCCCTTCCTGCCTACCGGGCGCTTCTACCCCCTTCCTGCCCAGGCCAATTTCCAGCTCTCAGCGCTTTCACAATTTGAATGACAATTGCGCGGTCATGCAACACTGTACTCATATGAAATTTTTATCATTTTTTTGTGACAGAGCTTTATTTTGGTGGTATTTAATCACCTCGGGGTTTTTTTTAAACAAACCAAAAACCACTAAAATTTTGAAAAAAAAAAAAAGTTTTTTCTTAGTTTTTGTTGTAAAATTTTGTAAATAAGTGATTTTACTCCTTCACTGATGTGCGCTAATGAGGCTGCAGTGATGGACACTGATAGGTGGCACTGATGAGGAGGCACTGGTAGGTGGCACTGATGGGCATTGACAGACATCACTGATGGGCACTGAAAAGCAGCCCTCATATATGGCACTGACTGGCAGCACTGTTAGGTGGCACTGATGCATACTGATAGGCGGCACTGATGCATACTGATAGGCGGCACTGATGGGCGGCACTGACTGGCACAGATAGGTGGCACTGATTGGCATTGATAGGTGGCACTGACTGGCACTGATGGGTGACACTGAAAGGCAGCTCAGATGGGCACTGATATGTGGCATTGATGTGGCACTGTTCAGCACTGACAGCTGGCACTGATGGAAACTGACAGGTGATGATCAGTATACGTGTCCCCTCCGAGGAATGCCGATTACCACCTCTCCTCTGTCAGCGTGACAGCTTGTGAGGAGAGAAATGCCCATAACTGCATTTCCCTGTTTACATGTGATCAGCTGTGATTGGACACAGCTGATCACATGACCGAGCCGACATTTTCGGCGCTTTCCGTAGATCGGTGATCCGCTGTGTCCGAGGAACACAGCGCACCGCCGATTGCCGCGCTGCATGCTTCCTGAGCCGCGCATGCGCGGTGAGAATGGGAGGACATTGTATGACGTCCTCCCGGAACGAGGGAACCACCTTGCGCCCGTCATTGGACTATATGGCGGGAGGGAGGCGGTCAAGGTGTGTGTGTGTGTGTGTGTGTGTAGGGGGGGGGTTATGTGTCTGATCATTGGAGGACAGGCAGGCTTTCCTCCAAGCACGGCCAGAAAAGCACAATGGGATGGATGTGCTCTCATGCCTAGTGTGGTCAGTGAATCAGGGGGACTGGTAGGATCACCACACAAAGGAAGGAATACAAAGCGAACAGGAGGAATATAAAAAGTCGGGGTAACCTATTCTTCACCGTATATGTTCTACTGCTTAGTAGGCGGCACTAATAGAGCGAATTCTGTACATGTTTCTTCGATGTGTTGTTGGCGTCTTCAGAATGAGTGATGTGCAGCTATAGCAGCCATAAAGAAGAACATACAAAGGTTCAGGTATACCTCCTATTAGCAATGGACAGTAAATGTCCAAATACAGTGTGCTCTGAATATATACTCCTCCAGTCATCCATGCCATGAATCTGGTGGTTGTGCCACAGTTTCTGTACCCCTGAGGCCATCAACCTGCTTCTGTACTTTTTACATGATGCCGGGATTTGTATTCTTGTGTTTGGCCACTTCTTGGTGTCATGCAGCCAAGTTGGCCCTAACCGGGAAGATACGTTGGAAACTTCTCATATCCTCCTCTATTGGCTGCTGCAGTAAAGTGGGGGAGGGGAGGGCACAGCATTTTACAAGGTTATAAGTTCCTGCATAACATATTTACTGGGAAAAAAAAGGAAGTAAATGTATCAGCTGGGCTCTGTGTAGGCATTTCAGTAGGACTTCATTATAAAGGGACGGGTTGTGTTTTGGAGGTGAAGAGCAGAGGGGCTTTAGCATTAGATTGAGAGGTGAGGAGTTGGGGACCACAGCCTCAGATGGTGGGAGTGGAGTGGGGGCTTGCAGCATTGGATGGGAGATGAGGAGCGGGGACCACGGTGTGGGATCGGGGGATGAGGAGCGGGTGTGGGAACGGGGGATGAGGAGCGGGTGTGGGATCGGGGGATGAGGAGCGGGGGACCACGATGTGGGATCGGGGGGGGATGAGGAGCGGGTGTGGGAACGGGGGATGAGGAGCGGGTGTGGGATCAGGGGGGTGAGGAGCGGGGACCACGGTGTGGGATCGGGGGGTGAGGAGCGGGGACCACGATGTGGGATCGGGGGATGAGGAGCGGGGACCACGGTGTGGGATCGGGGGGTGAGGAGCGGGGACCACGGTGTGTGGGATCGGGGGGTGAGGAGCGGGGACCACGGTGTGGGATCGGGGGGTGAGGAGCGGGGACCACGGTGTGGGATCGGGGGGTGAGGAGCGGGGACCACGGTGTGGGATCGGGGGGTGAGGAGCGGGGACCACGGTGTGGGATCGGGGGGTGAGGAGCGGGGACCACGGTGTGAAATGATGGGGGTGAGGAGCGGGGACCACGGTGTGAAATGATGGGGTGGGGAGCGGGGACCACGGTGTGAGATTGGGGGGTGATGAGAGGGGGGACCACGGTGTGAGGATGGGGGGGGTGATGAGAAGGTCATATATAGGAATAAATTAAATATGTTTTTGATAAATATTTTAATAGAAATGTTGAAATGACCTGTATATGAAGTGAAAAATTAATAAACATTTATAAAAAAAAAAAGAAGATAGGCGGCGTACACCATAGGCGGCGTACACCATAGGCGGCGATCACCATAGGCGGCGATCACCATAGGCGGCGTACACCATAGGCGGCGTACACCATAGGCGGCGTACAGCATAGTATTAGTATGAGGGAAGTGGAAATAAATGATAAATGTTTGAATAGATGGCACATCACCCCCTACCTGGAGCACAAGATGAATAGAGAAATTTCACAGATGTGTTGGAGAGGCTGTGGAGAGGTGGGCACGTGGTATCATATTTGGTGGGAGTGTTCAGAAATACAGGTGTTCTGGCGAAGGATAGTTCACTTGATATGGAAGATTACTAAAATTATTATAGGATTGGATCCAGAATTCTGCCTCCTCCATATCTCAGAACTCCCAGTGAAAGCTTATAAGAGTTCAGGGATATGGTACTACTTAACCGCAGCAACAAGCCTAATACCCAGGTACTGGAAGAAAAGAGAAGTGCCAACTGAGGAAGATTGGAAGGGAGAGGAAATCAGATATCCGGGACAGAAAGATTGTATTATACGCATGAGGACAAGCTGGAGATCTATAATAAAAAATGGAAGGGATGGGGAAAATATAAAGAAATGGTGAAATAGATGAAGTGATTCTGCTCCTGGTAGTTGGTTTAGAATTGGATTCAGGAACAGAATTATATAGAGTAAATGAGAGAAGAGACAATGTGGAGAGTGGGAGGGTAGGGGAAGGAGGGGAGGGGAGGACCATGGGAGGGGGGGGATGGTAAGAAAAGGTCATATATAGGAATAAATTAAATGTTTTTGATAACCATTTTTAATGAAATGTTGAAATCACCCATATATGAAGTGAAAAATTAATAAATATTTATAAAAAAAAAAAGAAAGGATAGACGGTGTACACCATAGAACAGCTTCTATGCTGTACATCTTCTATGCTACTTCTATACTGATGTCAATAGATGCTGGAAGGCATTTGACAGAGTGAGCTGGGGTTTTATGATGGACACTTTGGAAACATTAGGAATGGGAACAAATAGAATGAGAGGCTGGATTGGAGAGTTATACAGAGGGCCTACCGCTACCATAATGGTAAATGGAGGAAGATCAGAGTATTTAAAGATGTCAAACGGTACAAGACAGGGATGTACATTGTCTCCATTGGTGGTGCTATCACATAGGGAGCCCTTACTGTCTAGGATTAAGAAGAACATAGACATAAAATAACCATAGGTGGTGTACACCATAGGTGGTGTGATCACCATAGGTGGTGTACACCATAGGTGGTGATCACCATAGGTGGTGATCACCATAGGTGGTGTACACCATAGGTGGTGATACACCATAGGGGTGTACACCATAGGTGGTGTACACCATAGGTGGTGATCACCATAGGTGGTGTACACCATAGGTGGGTCACCATAGGTGGATCACCATAGGTGGTGATCACCATAGGTGGTGATCACCATAGGTGGTGACACCATAGGTGGTGATCACCATAGGTGGTGATCACCATAGGTGGTGATCACCATAGGTGGTGATCACCATAGGTGGTGATCACCATAGGTGGTGATCACCATAGGTGGTGTGCACCATAGTGTGGTGATCACCATAGGTGGTGATCACCATAGGTGGTGATCACCATAGGTGGTGTGCACCATAGGTGGTGATCACCATAGGTGGTGATCACCATAGGTGGTGATCACCATAGGTGGTGATCACCATAGGTGGTGATCACCATAGGTGGTGATCACCATAGGTGGTGTGTACACCATAGGTGGTGAACACCATAGGTGGTGTCACCATAGGTGGTGATCACCATAGGTGGTGTACACCATAGGTGGTGTACACCATAGGTGGTGTACACCATAGGTGTGATCACCATAGGTGGTGTACACCATAGGTGGTGATCACCATAGGTGGTGTACACCATAGGTGGTGTACACCATAGGTGGTGATCACCATAGGTGGTGATCACCATAGGTGGTGTATCACCATAGGTGGTGTACACCATAGGTGGTGATCACCATAGGTGGTGATCACCATAGGTGGTGATCACCATAGGTGGTGTACACCATAGGTGGTGATCACCATAGGTGGTGATCACCATAGGGGGTGATCACCATAGGTGGTGATCACCATAGGTGGTGTATCACCATAGGTGGTGTACACCATAGGTGGTGTACACCATAGGTGGTGTACACCATAGGTGGTGTACACCATAGGTGGTGATCACCATAGGTGGTGTACACCATAGGTGGTGTACACCATAGGTGGTGTACACCATAGGTGGTGTACACCATAGGTGGTGTACACCATAGGTGATGATCACCATAGGTGGTGATCACCATAGGTGGTGTACACCATAGGTGGTGATCACCATAGGTGGTGATACACCATAGGTGGTGTACACCATAGGTGGTGATCACCATAGGTGGTGGTGATCACCATAGGTGGTGTACACCATAGGTGGTGATCACCATAGGTGGTGTACACCATAGGTGGTGATCACCATAGGTGGTGTACACCATAGGTGGTGTGTACACCATAGGTGGTGATCACCATAGGTGGTGTACACCATAGGTGGTGGTACACCATAGGTGGTGTACACACCATAGGTGGTGATCACCATAGGTGGTGATACACCATAGGTGGTGATCACCATAGGTGGTGATCACCATAGGTGGTGATCACCATAGGTGGTGTCACCATAGGTGGTGATCACCATAGGTGGTGATACACCATAGGTGGTGTGACACCATAGGTGGTGATCACCATAGGTGGTGATCACCATAGGTGGTGTGATCACCATAGGTGGTGATCACCATAGGTGGTGATCACCATAGGTGGTGGTGATCACCATAGGTGGTGTACACCATAGGTGGTGATCACCATAGGTGGTGTACACCATAGGTGGTGATCACCATAGGTGGTGTACACCATAGGTGGTGTACACCATAGGTGGTGATCACCATAGGTGGTGATCACCATAGGTGGTGATCACCATAGGTGGTGATCACCATTGGGTGATCACCATAGTGGTGGTGTACACCATAGGTGGTGATCACCATAGAAGAAACCCTAGAACATCACTACCAAATTTGGAAAGCCGTGAGGGAGTAGTGGTGAACACCTGTCGAACCTGAAAATGGCACAACCCCCTACCTGGACCGAAATCTTAAAATAAATCTTCAAGAATAGCAAAACAGAAAATCTAGGTGGAGACACCTTTCCTTTGGAGAGACAAGGAATTAAAATATCTGGTAAAACTATCAGCCTCAAATAAGAACCTCAACAAAGGTTATATCACG